ATGGGAATTAGTTTGCGGGTGGGGGCTGAAGCGGGAAGCCAGGGCAGTTGGAGAGGGATTGGCCCCGCACTGGGGATAGGGTCTGGGCTCAGTGTGGGCAGGGTCCTGTCTCCTCTTTCCTAGGCAGCCCCAGGGTGTGCCCTTTGTGAAGGTGGGAGGGATGCTGACTTAGCAACAGGTGACAGCCCCTGCCGATCAGGCCCCCTTCTGTGGCTCACACCAATGCCCGAGTGGGCCGGGCAAGGGACCCTAAAGCACAGCACAGCTGAAGGGCAAAAGTGGCTTCAGACACTCCCACCCATCTGTGCCACTGTGGCTGGCTTTACACACACACTGTTCTGTGTTTAGAACTGTTATCAACCCTGCGCCTGGGTACAGGTGACAGCCCCTGCCGATCAGGCCCCCTTCTGTGGCTCACACCAATGCCCGAGTGGGCCGGGCAAGGGACCCTAAAGCACAGCACAGCTGAAGGGCAAAAGTGGCTTCAGACACTCCCACCCATCTGTGCCACTGTGGCTGGCTTTACACACACACTGTTCTGTGTTTAGAACTGTTATCAACCCTGCGCCTGGGTGACCATAAGGTTCGTCTTTGCTTTCTTCACTCAGCGCAGTCAACTGCTGGAACTCTTTGACAGAGGATGTGGTGAAGGCTAGGACTTTAACAGGGTTCCAAAAAGAGCTAGAGAGATTTAGGGAGGTTAGGTCCATGAATGGCTATTAGCCAGGATGGGTAGGAATGGTGTCCCTAGCCTCTGTTTGTCTGGAAATGGGAGACAGGAGAGGAATCACGTGAGGACTGCCTGTTCTGTTTCCTCCCTCTAAGGCATCTGGTATTGGCCACTGTTGGCAGACAGGACACTGGGCTAGATGAACCTTTGGTCTGACCCCGTGTGGCCGTTCTTATGTTCCTGTCTAAGTTCGGCCCATAGCTCTGCAATTGTTGGGTTTTGCTCCAGAGCTGGCTATGTTTCAGGGATGTATGTAACATGACACCAGTACTGTCCATGTTTATAAATGTTTTTGGCAGAGTGTGTTGGGATTGTTCAACATTAAACTAAGAATACGTTTGCTTTGCAGTTGGAGGTGTGATTAAACTTAAATGTAACTAGTGCAGCTGAAAATGGCAATGGAGACAGACCCTGATTCAGGTTAGCAAGGCAAGTGCTTCCCTGAGGTTCTGGTCTAGGTTATGCCTAGCCTAGGTTATGCCCTATGTCTCTGCATCTTTACTGCTATTTTTAGCTAAATGAAAGCAAAGCTAATGTATGTATGTCTACCCAAGATGTGATTATGCCTTTGATTGCAGCGTGGTCATACTCATAGTCTCATGCTAATAGATCTTTTGTGGCCCATTTTAAATGGGGTGGAACCCAACTAGTTCCTTGTGACTAGGTATCTACTTCAGAATGCCTCCGCTGTGTCAGCTGTTAGGTGAGTAAGGGAGTATGGCACTCTTACTGGCCGTCTCAGCAAAGGTGCCAAGGATTGAAGGGTGATGGTGATTAAGCTCTCTCACTCTTAGAGATGGTCCATCTAAATCAGAGAATCCCCATCTGAGGTGCACATACTTCTTCCCCCCGATGTGCTTCTGATGATATCAGGGGAGACTGAGGACTTGATGGGGTTGTATCTGGAAGGGGGAATGGTGAGCGGTCTGTGTGGGTGGTATCGGATGTTGGGACTGGACTCCCTGCCTGTCTCTCATGTCCATACCACCTGCAGTTACACTCCTCTACTGGGGATACCGGCAGGGAGCCGAGTACTGACCCTCTTGCTGGCCAGAGTTGCCTCCTGATTGTGGCCCCATCCAAGACAAAATGCTCATCCTCTTCTCCTTCTGGACAGAGCTTGCTCAGGGGAAGTGGACAGGGCCATGTTTAAAGGGCTGTGTCCAGCAGGAGGGACAGTACTCATGGGATGCAGTCTTTCATGCTGCTACTGACCTTGCCTCTTCCATGGAGCACACTTTCTTCTCCTGTGGGGGAGAGCAAGGCAGGGAGGGAACTAGATCTTGGAAGCTGAGACTACCCAAGTGCTGCAAGGTGAGTAGAGACTGGGGTCCATGGTTCCCTTTTAAAAAAGGCGGGAAATGCCTGGAGCATAAATCTCCAAAGAAGGACTTGGTAAATAACATTTGGCAACCTCTGCTTTAGATCATGGTCAACCCTGCTGCTGCAGCAGTGTTGAGAAATCGAGCACTGGTACTGTTTGTGCACCTGTGGTATCATGGGTGGATAAATAGGATGTTAGTGTTGCTCATGCATTGCAGTCAATCATGGCTTTCATGGAATCCTAAATCCTTCCTCCCTCTTCCCACTGAACGAAAGTTTCCCTAAACTGATTTTGCTCTTTCTTGCTTGCCAGGTATGCTTAGAATTGTTCCTTCTCTCTCTTTTTTTCTCTTTCATTTTTTTTAAACTACAGAGTTTGGAGAAGATTATCCAGAGGGATTTCTTTCCTGATGTTGAGAGGTTACGTGCTCAGAAGGAGTACTTGGAAGCTGAAGAAAGTGGTGACTTAGAGAAAATGAGACAAATAGCAATCAAATTTGGCTCTTCATTGGGGAAATCATCCAAGGAGACACCTGCCCCATGTAAGTGCTGGTGGTTAGCTGGATGATTTCATGAGTAGGCTGTTAGTGTGATGTGTGTCATAAAGTAAAAGCTATAAAGCACTGCTGTCTTTTTGTCACTTTGATAGATTGTTTTATGGTAGCAAGGGAAATTGTAGTGTTGCTGAGTGCCTGGGAACCCAACTTGTTTAAGGTCCAGAATGTAGTGCTGTAGCTGCCTTCTGATCATCCTGGGGAAAAGCAGTGATTATTTCTGACTGCACAGGAGTTACTGGATGACAATGGTGTTTTGACAGTGGCTGGTGTCAACTACTTTAGAGGAAGGCTACAAGAAACAATGTAGAGAAGCAGTAAGAAGTTTCTCAGTGGGCTGGTTATTTCATAACTCCCACTTATTAGAGGTTGCTTTGTGCTCTGATACATGAGGTCTTGTGTCTCTTTAGAAACTCCAGGCTGTTTCTTTAATCCAGTGGTCCCCAACCTATAGAGGCT